TATATATATATATATATATGTTTGTGTGTGCATTTATGTGTGTGTTTGTGTGTATGTGTGTGTGTGTGTGTGTGTGTAATTTTAAGAACACATCGGCATGCCAGAATCTTATCAGCTTGCCTAAAGTGTCATAACTGAAAGTGTAGTTTAGCGCCCCACGTGGGGCAGCCAGTCTCCACAGCTTTTGTCATCCTCGGCTCGTGGGGCCAGAAAAAGTGGGACTATTTAATGGGACTCTGTGTCTGGCCACCACCAGCCCTCCTACATACAGCGGCAGGACACATTTTTCGGGTCACCCTGACTCCCGACATTGCCCTGCCTACAAGGCTCAACACATCTCAATCTAACAGTAACGGACATACACACACACACACACACAAATGTGTGTGTATATATAAGGACGTACGCCTGAGGACAAATGGGGGCGATCTTTGAGAAAATACACGCCAGAATAAGAGATTACAGAATAAAATAAGGTTAACTTTATCCTGTGCAGATTGGACTGGCAGACGGGAGGGGGTGACTTCATACAAGATGCCGTAGCACATGGACATACAATCACAAACGCCGTTATCCCAACGTGGGTATACAATCGGTGCCGGTGAACACAGACAAAGAGAAGTGGGGTAAAAGGGAAGACGAGATGCCTACCTTCAGCCCAGCAACGGGCTAGCCTTGTTCTGGTCGAACAAACACGCCAGACTCATTAAACCAGGCACCTTGTGCTGGTGCAGGTGCGGGATGGCAGGAACAGATGGACAGACGGACAGAAGCCCAATCCATGGCGAGAATGTCTTTCTGAAGGCTTGTGTCGTCCGGACAAGTTGTTGGGCAAATGGCTGCTGGGACGACTTTCGGCCGAATGGGACTGGGCCATTCGTCTCGAGTCCCGGGCCGAGTCTCGGCGTGTCCTGGCGACCGGCCATCCGCGAAGACTGAAAAGCCATGAAGCAACAAGACCTCTTTCAAATCGCATTTTATGCTGGCAATGGCGATGAGGCTGACATGTATTTTCGTTTCTGAGTTGGAACTGAGTTGTTGCAGACTTAAGTTGTTCTGGCCTGCTGGTTCGAGTCCGGTCTCCGGACGGTCGACTCCTAAAAGAGATTGCTGGAGGAACTCCAAGGACGGTTGCTACTAGCCATTTGTAGCCTGGCTTGACGGAGGTATTTGCGGTGACGCTGTTTCCGAGTCGGTCTCTTTCGATTCCGCAGAAAATGTGATTAGTTGTTGGCGGCTATTTGACTGACATCATTCTTACAAGCATATTAAAGCCAACAAGATAAGAAAACTCACTTGTCTATTAATAAACGCTGTATTTACACCCAAAATCTTAGCTCTTTGTTGAGGTGTAAAGTGATTTGGTTACTTCAAGTAATGTAAAGCTCGAAGCATGTACGCATGTATATATCTGGGCGTGTGTGTGTGTGTGTGTGTTCATTCATGTGTTCGTATAGGTACGAAGCCGGCAGTGATAACTCAAAGTCCGCTTTCAGTAATCAAGGTAATATGGCCACCACCAACGAACTCTTTTTTTTATTTTTCGAATTAAGTATTGTTT